AAACATAGATTCAAAAAAAGAAATTAATATATTCTTTTTTATGTATTTAAATCGAATGCGAATTAATAGAAAAAACAAAACTTACAAAAAATGGATTAGATTCACAACTTAAAGAATCGTTTATTTCGTACCCTATTGAAAATTTCGTTAAATGGAATAAAGGTATTAAACCTATATATATATACGTATGCATAGCTATCAGTAAATCAATTATTATTTGATAATATTGTTGCTCTCTATTTATTTTTTATATGCTTCTTCTAGGTCTCGTAACGTAATGATTTTGGTGATTTTAAACCTTAAATGTTTCAATTTTTTTAATGAATTTCAGTTGTTATTTCACAGCGAAATTTTTTTCAGAAATCATATTCTATGAAACGAAAAGAATATTATTTTAAAATTGTTAAGTTGGAAAATCTTCTCAGATTTTGTATAATACTTTTATATTCTATAAAAAAAAATTTTATAATTCATTTAGTCAATTACAAAGAATAGTCAATGACGAAATTTGCCGTAAAAAAGCAGGCGTAGAGTAAAAGCAGGCTAACAATTCTCGATGGTTTCAGCAATTATGATAAAAGAATTATAAAATATTAAACAGATAACTCCAACAATGCAAAAATAGTTCTTTAATTGAACTCTCACGAACCAGATTTAGTCCGTGATTTAGCCGCCCTCGCACTATATCGTTGAAATTTTATTATGACAGCATAATTGATATCCGTTTGAATTCGGTATCAGAAGAAGGATATGGCGATGGATAGGACATAATCTTCGTAAAGATAACTTAAACATTGCGAAAATGATCTTTTAATGGAACCCTCATCAATTACGAAGATTTAGCGAGTCTCGCACTATATTATTAAAATCTTATTATGACCGCATACTATACGTTGGAAATCGACATCAGAAGAAGGAAATGGCGGTAGATAGGATATATTTTCCGTAAACATGACTAAACTATTGTAAAAATGTGCAATGAATAGATGAATGAATAGAAATCTATTCACACAGAATAACGGGAATATAAATCCTTGGAATAGATTCGCCATACAAATCGAATCAGAACTCAAAATGCATAAGAATTGCTTTCATCCTAAGCTTTTGTCAAAAGCAATAACACCAGATGAATTAATAAGGAATTAAGATGAATTTAAATGAAGCAGTGACATAGCTAAAATTATGACCGCTTAAACCACGTTTCATTTTATACATAACATATATACAGGCTTAGGCGATTGAAGTATTACCTACCTAGTCGCTAGCTATATCCTTTTTGTGTGAAATTATTTTTTATTAATTCAAATTTCAAAAATTTGTAGAAATAATCAAAATTTCAGAATTTATTCACTCTAGATGTGACCTTGACTATGGACTTCAACTGGTTAAAAAAATGAGTTGTATGCTTTACGAATGTGATCTTTCAGTGTTTTGGACCATACCTGAACAATGGCGAACCTTGTTCTCCAATATGGCCCAAATGATCCTTCGAATTTGCATCTGGCGAATTCAAAGGCTATTGTGTGGACGAAATGAACATGTCGAGCGTGGAACATGGAATATGGAAATGTGGAACATGGTTCACACGAGTTTTATAAAACATTGCCGAGTATTGTATTCTTTATAATTATAATAATCAACTTTTAATATTTCCCAGCGAAAAATGATGTTTGTAGTCTGTAATTTTTAATATTCGATTTGTAAACAAAAAACATATGATTTACTCTTAATTTGGGACAGTGTGAACACTTTCGAAATTAACTTAATTTCATTTAAACGAAATTAAGGAAATTTGGCTGTCTGAACGTAGTATAACAGATCTTTCTCTATATAAAGTAATAACTTTTCTTGACATATAACAATATATAATGCATTGTGAAAAAATAGAAATAATTTCCTTTTAAAATGAAGGTTTAACCGACCTCTACAACCGTAATGACACTCTTTTTAAACTACACAAGAAATAAAGTAAATCCATTATTTCTCACTAATGCTAAATAATTGTAAATAAAAAAATGTAAATAAAAAATTGTAAATAAAAAATTATTACTATAAGTGATATCAGTGTTTTAAGTGATATCTTAAGAAAAAAAGAGAAAACAAAACAAAACAAAACAAGTGAACGAAGAAAGCAACAAACTAAGCTTTGTTGTCTTCCGGCTAGTAACAACAAAAAGTGCTGGAGGGCAGCAATGCAAAAATTACACAAAATATAAACGCAAAAAAAAAACAATTACACTTTCAAAATAGAAAACAGGCAACAAAAAGCCGTAAGTGACAAAAAAAATCGCTTAACATTTTTTACAAGGAATTCAATATCGAATAAGAAACTAAATTTATGACAACAACTAATTCATAAATAAACATACAAGAAAATAAATTATGTAAAAAATTATTTAAGAAATAAATAAACTAAGAAAAACAAAAATATTACAAAAAATGTTGCTCACCTGAGCGTGTGCAATAATAAGTCGAATTGTTTGTTGATCGGTCGGTAAAAGCTTACAACTTTCGTGTGGGTTTGCGGATAGCACAAGACACAAGACACAAAACACAACAACAGCAACAGCAACACCAACTGTAACTGTAACTGTAATTGATGAGGGGAGCGAAGACGTAGCAGTGTATTTGTTACAATATTTATTGATGTTACTGCAATTGTTAGATGACGGCAAAAGTAGGTGTTGTCGTTTTTCTCCAAATATTTATAATTAAACTTCTATAATTTATCACTTTGAATTTTTTTACAATAATTATTTATTAACTTTTAATTTTGTTTTTTTTTTTAAATATCTATTTAAATAATTTGAATTGGAAATTTTAGTTAGGAAATGGAAATTGCGATGACACAGCGATGACGTTTCCCGTTTTTACAAGCCCGTTTTTTACGACTTTCTTCTTGTGTTAGAATATTGCACTTTGATTTTATAATACATGTATTATAAATATTTAAAATTAATTTTGAATATTTTCGTATTAATTTGTGTAATTTTTTCGTTAATTAAACCAAAATTTATTTACGTTTTACACGAAATTTTGCTTATAATTCTCCAATAGAAAACCTCCTCACACACCAAATGTCAATGAAAAAATAAAGTGAAATGCATAGTAATTTGAATTTTTTTTTTCCTACTTCTTAATTATTTTCTTGTTATTGCTATTTCCTTCTCACTACTTCGAAGTTAATATAATATTATTAATTTTGGAACTTTTTAATATTTAACTCACATTAGCCAAAAAGCAAATATATGTATTTTTTATGCGTATATAAAATAAAAAATATTAATGCAGTAAGCAGTAGGTTCATAAAATGAGTTGCACGAAAATGAACCTTTGGTAAATGAATGAATTTCGTTTGTCCTATTTGCTCATTTTTATTATATGGTTGCCATATCGCTTAAACAAAATTCAGTAACAGATGGCGTTAGGTAGTATTTCATAATAACATAAATAGTTATCATTTGCATTTATGAATGAATTGCATCGTGCGAACATTTGATTAAACAAAATATATTATTTGAAAATTTAAAAATTTTATTTTAAATAGTAAAACTGAGAAGTGTGTGTTATTATGTAGCGTACATAAGCATATACTATATGCGTATATAAACATGCTGATAAATATTGTAACTTTATTGCTTGACGGTAGTATTTAGACTGGCGTGTGAAGACGCTAATTTAGCAAATACTCACGACATACTATTGCGCGCTGTTCCTTCATAAGTATCTATGCAAAATTATCTATGTAATAAATAAGAGACTCAGTACAATTATTATGGACTGATTTAAGTCGCCCCGATTTAAGTTGATTCAAATTTCATCGCCAATAAGAAAAATAAGTTTTGACTTCGAATTAAGTCAGCAGTGTTTCAAATTCTTATTTCAATTCTTGTAGATTACATTCTTTACCCCTTTTCATGTTCATATTGAGTCTCTTTCGAGTTGTGCATTTGGGCACTTTTACACTTTAATAGCTGGAGGGTTTCTGCAGAGTGCCACCCTACTCACTGACTAATTTAAATATTCCTCAAAAGTTTTTAGTTAAAAGGTGTCAATTAACATTTGTGTGGTGAAGCGGAAAGATAAATTTCTGTTTTATAGAGTATAGAAATAAGTCAAAAGCGAAAATTTCCGTAGAATAAAAGTTAGACATTTTAAAAAGTTTTAAATCTATAGAAAAACTGACTGACATTGGGAGAATTCCGGATTTAGCTCCAACTACTGTATGTCACACATTTGCAGGTCAAACCAGTTACAAAAAACGGAAACACATTAATTGTAAAAATGTAATCCCTTCTATCCATTTGAATAGAAAAAAGAAGAATAAAAGAAGAATGTCATTGAGCCAAAAGATAATTCAGATTAATGAGCGCTGTCGATATTCAAAGATTTTAAAGATAATTCTTTATCAACAAGTGGTAAAAAATCAGATTTTTGGAAATAAAATATGTGGAGAAATGTTACATTTTGTTACTTCTTTTTTGAAATTGTAAAAGGCTCTGAAAACGGTAGGTCTACATGCAATACACACACTTATTATGTTTCTATATATCATTTTGATTCTTAACTTTTTAGCATTTTAACGCGAATTTAGCTTACTTGATTCAAATCGTGAAAATGCCAAATAAGTATATAAGTGCATAACGTATTTAAATTAAATTTTCCGTTAACCGTTAAATTTAACCGTTATAAAAAACATATTTTGATCATTATAATCAGAGAAGAAGTACTAAAAAGCAATATAAATGTTATATAAATTAACTATATAATTTAAATAAATATAAATAAATCAAAAGTGTGAATAATTAAACAAAACTTCTATTCACCATTTTATAAGCTGGGAAAATTTTACCACCTAAGCCCTTTTAACTATACATCTGACAAGTGAAAATTAAAATCTTAACTTTTAAATAATTAAATAAATTTAGTAAAATAACAGTATAAAAAATAATTATATATTAGTTTAGAAAAAAAAATTGATTATTAATTTTTTAACTTACTCGCATGGGATCCTTAGGTTTTTCGGCAATAATGATGTACTTTACTCAACTTTTACTAGAATTTGTATCTATATAATATTTAATTGAATAGAAAAAAGTTTTCATAAAAATATTTAAACTTTACTTAATTTTAATGAATATTATTGACGATTTTAAAACTTTTTTTGAAAATTCCATGTAACTGAGATATTTTGGTGTACATAAATATTGGTATAAAAAAATAAACAGTCCTCAAACATTGCATTCCTTTAATAGTGAACCACAGCATTCGTCATTTATACAGAGAATAGTTAAACAAATTATAGGAATTATTATAGGTATTCATAATTATATAAACCAAGTAAGGCTCTACAGCTAAAACCTTTTGATATATAAAAGCTCTTTCTCGTGCCTTAAGTAACTTGTGCTTATGTTACTATGTGTAAACGACAAAAGCTCAAAGTTACTTAAGTAAGCAGTGAAAAAAAGGTACTATACTACGTTTACATTGTGAGATTAAGAGAACGCGAATAAGTTAATCTGCATTTTTAATTTACAAAGTTTAAATTATACATTAGAGATTAATTTTGACATTTCACTTGTTGTGTTTTGTTTTCTTTATTTAATCAATGTCTGTAAATAAAGTTTTTAATAAAAACTTTGTACAAAAAAAGTGAAATAAAAATTTAATAAATAGTTTTATAACAATAATTTAACAAATTTGAGCTATAATTATATACAAAACTATTACTAAACAATTGAAATAAAAACTTCACTCACTTCGGCAATTTTAAATTTTCAATATTGTTTTGAATAGATTTTGACATTTCCTTTCCAATTCTTCTAAGATCATAAAAAAATATACGATATTAAGACATTTGTAGAGTTGCATAGAAAAATAATCACCATTTATGTGATAATATATTCAGATAGCCAAAGTTCCTTAATTTCGTTTAAATGAAATTAAGTTAATTTCGAAAGTGTTCATACTGTCCCAAATTAAGGAAATCATATGTTTTTTGTTTACAAATCGTATGTTAAAAATTACATGCTACCAACATCATTTGTATCTGAGAAATTTTAAACATTGATTATTGTAATTATAAAGCATGACATTCAGTAGTTTTATTAGCTTTAGTGGATTTCAGATATGTCGATTAATATTTTTAACTCAATTTTAAATTTATAACAGTTACAATTCCTTTTTTGTATTCAAATTTAAAAATATTCACTACCTTCAAAATATTTCCCAGTTTTATTAAAATCAACTGTCATTGACATTTAAAAAAAATTCACTTTTACGTTATCTCTTGCTTAAAATTTATCTTACTCATAGTTGCATTTGAGCCTTCATAGTTGTCACTTAATTTCAGCCTTCATTTCAACGAAATTAATGTTATTTTCCTTAATATCATTCTAACCTTAAAACTGAATTTTGTATGGAAAAAACAATTTAATTTCGCTGAAACGAAGATGAAATTAATATTTTTGCGAAATTAAGTTGTGTGTGAACATAGTATAGGCAGATTAAAAATTAATATCGATTAAAAGGAGATTAACTTTTGTATGGGAAATCTGAGTTTAAACAACGAGATTAGTACTTTGATCTCGATTATTGCTTTAATGTACTCTCAATCTCACAATGTTAACGCCGTGTACCCAAGAAACGAGCGAATATCGCTGTGAAAACTATGGAAAATAGTATTTATGTTAATCAATGCAATAAAGAACTTATAACAATTCGAAATTTGCAATTGTCAATTTAATTAAATTAATGAAAAAATTATTGAAAATTTAAAATCAAAACCAGTGTAGTTTGGGTCATTTTCACATGTGTGCTACTACTATTTTATGTAGTGAAAACATTTAACTCATCAACACTGAAATGAATTTTATTTTTTGTTTAACTGATAAGTGACATCTGATAAAAAAAAAGAATTGTTTATAGTTTGGGTATTGCAAAATGGAAAATTCTGATAAGGAAACGGCGGTATTTATAAAAACTAAATTAAATATATATATTTAATACTTTTTCATTTCTATAGGATTGTTGGACAAAAGACGAAACAAATATGTTGATTAATGAATTTAAGAATCACGCCTGCCTAATTAATCCCAGTGATCCAAAATTCGCAAATAAAGCTGCACGAACGGATGCTTACAATAAAATTATAAAGAAACTAAAAAGTATTAAACCAAACGTAAACTTAAAAAAAATAAAAAAGAAATTGAGCACATTACAAAATCAAATCTGTCATGAGAAAGTAATGGAAGCCAATTGCAAAAGGCGTGGCATAGAATATAAACCAAAATTGTGGTGTTACGATAAACTGGATTTTCTAAAAAACAATTCTCATATCAGACAAAGTTATTCGTCCTTACAGGATACGTCTGTAAGTTAATTAAATTATTATCTCTATTATAATTCGTGACTTGCAGTACTATTTGTGCGTTGTATTCTGTAGGATCAGATCGATGTGCACTTCGATGAATGCGGGAATCTGGATTTAGACGAAACTGAAATGGTAAGTTTTATTAAATTATTTTTAAATTTCCTTCAACTTTTTTTTTCCTAGTTTGAAAAAGAATTTCTCAAGGAATATGATGGAGCAATTGCCATAGAAAACAAAAAGAAACGATCCACACATATTTTTAATCTTAAGACAAATGTTAATAAAAAGCGTTGTTGTAAAGAGGAGATATTCTGTAATTATTTAAGCAGTGAACTGAGACGAATTCAACTTGAAGATACATTTGATGACCTTAAACTAGAAATTTTACGTTTAGTAAGACAAGCTATAAAAAATGAGAGCTTACGATGTATATGAAATTATTATTATTATTATTATAAGTTATTAATAGTAGAGGTACTCATCGAAGCATATAAATTTATCAAATGTATAATTTTATACGTTTACGTACACGGTTATATGAGCGCACTTAATGAAATATTTGTGTAAATTCATCAATCTGCTGTATAATAGCACTAATTATATCAGCAATACTTATGACAGCACAAAATGCAATGTTCAGCAGCGCAATTTTTTAGCCAATATCGATGTACTTTTAAACATTTGTGCAAACTTTATTGGTCAGCTGTGTCGCTATCGATAAATTATAAAATAAAATATCTAAATTAATTGAAAAGTCCTAATTAAAAAGTATTTACAAAGATATTTTTGTATGTGAGATGCTTACATTGAAATGCAATTCTGTATTGACAACAAATAAATTTATACGATACAAATTTATTCGGTAAAATTTCCATGTAAATTTATCCATTTTGTGTAAACTATTTTTCATACAAAATTTGACACTTCATTTATCAAGCAGATAACTTTATACGTTTATAAGGTATTTACCAGATGAGTACCACTACTTTAAAGTTTTATAAGTTTGCATGCTAACGAAACATACTCTATGCTAATTAAATATACTCAATTAAATATACTCTGCTAACTAAATTTACTAGTTTTATTATTAATAAGTTCTGCAAAATTTGGTAGATGGACACAATCCTATTATAGTATTTCATTTAAAACTATTAAATAAAAATCAGTTATGACGAAAATAAGTAGTCTGAGATAAATTCTGTTAAACTTTAAAAATAATGTGTTATTGTGCGGTATTTGACTGTCCAGAGATACCTTACTATGTGATGTGCAAGTTAGTCTCGCGGTTAGACTTATTTTAAGTCAGATTAAACGCTCGGAAGATACAATGGAGATAACGATCATATATGTATGTATTATAACACAATAAACTTAATGTTTCCCGATATCAGTTAAGAGATAAACAGTGCTATGATAATGCTCTTAACCTTATATTTGAGCACTTGCAAATGACAGCATGTCAGTTTCGTTATCCGTTGAAATATAAATATCGCTTAACAATATTGTGTTACAATATTTGGCTGTATTTCAATGAGGACTTGCTAAGTGCTTCTGATGTGATTGCTAATATTATTATCTAGAATAAAACCTGACAGCGTTCGTTATAAGAACAACAATAAATTTTTATTACCCGCCCATTACTTGAGATGAATAACTCAAACATATCACTGAAAAAGTGAACCATAGCCATAGAGATATAAAATCAATACATAATTTTGGGTCAAAGTAAAGTCTTATACAAATAAGTCTATGTCAAAATTATCAAAGCGGGAAGCAACTACTGTTGGCAAGGAAATAAAAACTAATAGTGCGTTTGCACTATAACAATTTAATCGATAAATGTGCATTATGTAGTGTTCATTTACATATAAAATCCATACAAATATCATACCATATGGTACTAATGAGACTAGATAATTAAAATACAAACAGAATATAATTCTAATAATAATTATAAACAAATTTAACTGATTATGGGATGCATTTAATAAATGTGATATTATAAGTAATTGTGTTTGCTATACTTTGTGTATTATTATTAAAAATCTGGAAAGTTTTGCTCTTGATATAATAGGTCTGTTCCACGA